TCCTCCAGAGTTGGAGACTAGGGCTCAGAGACAGGAAGTAATTTCCCCAAAGTCTGCACAGTTTGAGTACAACATTGCCTAAGGATTCGTATTAAGTGTCCCCCCCAACAAAGTCAATCCTAAAGGAACTCAGTCCTGAGTATTCATTGGAAGGACTGATGCTGAAGCTGAAACTCCAATACTTTGGCTACCTGATGCAAAGAACTGACTCCTTGGAAAAGACCATGATGCTGGGAAAGACCGAAGGCAGGAGGAGAAGGGGATGACAGAGGATGAGATGGTTGGATGGCATCACTGACTCAATGTACTTGAGTTTGAACAAGGTGCGGGAGTTGGTGATAGACAGGGAGGCTTGGGGTGCTGCAGTCCCTGGGGTCGCAAAGAGTCTGACATGACTGAGCAACTGAACTGACTGACTGACTTATTTATCCATTCATCTGTCAATGGACATTTAGTTTGTTTCCATGTCTTGGCTAAGTGCTGTTACGAACATAGAGGGTGCACATATCTTTTTGAATTAGAGTTTTGTCTGGATATATGCCCAGGAGTGGGATTGCTGGATCATACAGCCACTAAGTTTTCTGAGGAACCTCCGTATTATTTTCCATAGTGATTGTACCAACTTGCATTCCCACCAAGAGTGTAGGGAGGTTCCCTTTATCCACATCCTCTCCAGCATTTGTCATTTGTAGATTTTTAAATGATGGTCATTTTGACTGGTGTGAGATGGTACCACATTGTAGTTTTAATTTGCATTTCCCTAATAATTAATGACGATAAGTATCATTTCATGTGCCTATGGGCTATCTGTACAGCATGTCTGGACTTTAATAAGCTCTCCTGGAGATGCCAATGAAGATAAATTTTGAGAAACATTGACTGGGACCAAGTTCCTCATTCCTGGCTGAAGCAACTGACACCAGAAAAAGTGCTTTGACCAAACAAGATAGATTTGCCCCAAACAAGAGTCTAAATCCAGGTGTAGCCCAATTCCAGAGCCTGCATTCAAATCACCCCACTATGAGAGTTTCACTTACTTTTAGCTTAAACTCGATTATTAAGTGAGCTTATTAAGTGTACAAGAGTGTCTGTCTCACAGCAGGCTTGCCAACATTGCTATCAAATTTTTGCCCAATTTAATTAAGTGAGCCACTGTGTCTTAAGCATGCCCTATGCAACCACCTGGGCTTCACAGTTAGCGATAGTGGTAAAGAATCTACCTGCCAATGAAGGAAGAGATGTAGGTTCCATCCCTGGGTTGGGAAGATCCCCTGGAGGTGAGCATAGCGACTCACTCCAGTATTCTTGCCTGGAGAATCCCATGGACAGGGGGACATGGCAGGCTACAGTCCATTGGGTCACAGAGTCAGGCTTGACTGAAGCAACTTAGCAGTAAAAGGGTGCTGATAGTAAAAATTCGTAAATGTACACTAATCCTTTTCCATTTAATAAATGAAGATAATTGTATGTCAGGATTTTTAAAGCAGAAAACAGCAATGTCTGGAGATAGCATGTTATCCCACAAGCTTACCAGAGCATCTTGTTTTCATTTCCCAGGTTACCTCAGGTGTCATGTATCTTGGAAACTGAGACATCTAAAGGGGACAAGTGGCCTAGACATTACCAAGGCTGCTTCCCTGAGGCCTGGTAGGAAAGACACCACCCAGGGAAGGTGCTGTGCTGTGCTAAGTCACCTCAGTGTCCAACCCTTTGCAACCCCATGGACTGTAGCTCACCAGGCTCGTCTGTCCTTATGATTCTCCAGGCAAGAGTACTGGAGGGAAGGTTCCTCTTTGAATCAGGCCCCAAACACGGGCAGTGCTCTGGGCCCAGCTATGGGCAGAGGCATCCAGTAGATGGCAGCGTCTCACAGAACAAGCGCTGGTGAAGCCGGCTGTTCCCTAGGAAGGAGAAAACCAACTCTGGGAACCTCCCCCGCAGGTGCACTTTGCCCTCCCTGGGGAAAAGAGAACGGACTTCCTGTGTGGGCCCTCCCAGCCCTGCCCGTGGTACCCAGGGGACTTGGACATCCTGGACTGACTGAGCTGGAAGGGCCCTTACCCATGACGCTGTTCGGTGCTGCCCAAGGTGTGGACAAGGGCCAACAGCATCACCTGGGACCAACACCTGGGAGTTTGTGAGGAATTCAGATTTTCAGCCTTCACCCCAGGATACACAGTCAGAAATTTGGGGTGGGGTGGGCCAGAAGTCTATGTTTTAACAAGCCCTTTAGGTGACTCTGGAAACTGTACAAGCACCTATCTTTCTTTTTTAAATTTTAGAATATAGTTGATTGACAATGTTGTGTTAGTTTCAAGTATACAGCAAAGTGATTCCGTTACACACATACATGTATCCATTCTTTTTCAAATTTCTCTGTTTAGGTTATAATAGAGTATTGAGCACAGTAATGAAGAAAAAGAAACAGTTTAAAGAAGAACTCTAAAAATCTGCACAGAAGTCCCTGTGAGTACTTTGCCAACTCCTCAGCCAAGATGTGTGTTTTAAAACTAGCACTACCATATGATCCAGCAATCCCATTCCTGGGCATATATGCAGAGAAAATCATGGTTCAAAAGGATCCATGCACTCCAATGTTCATAGCAGCATTATTTACAATAGCCAAGACATGGAGGCCGCGTAAATGTCCATCAACAGAAGAATGGATAGAGAAGATGTGGAATGTACATACAACAGAATATGATTTGGCCATTAAAAAGAAGGAAGTAATGCCCCTTGCAGCAACACGGATGGGCCTGGGGCTTATCACCCTAAGTGAAGAAAGTCCGACAGAGACAGACAGACACCGTACATGTGGAATCTAGAAAAAATGCACCTCTCACTTTAGAAGTGGGGAAATGGAGGCCAGGCAAAGGAAGTAACTCGTCACAGAGCCAGGTAGCAGCAGAATCCGGATCCCCAGTGTTGTTTCCACCTTAACCTCTAACTAGCTCCCTCCTTTTCTTCATTCATCCTTCATTTCTCATAGACCTGCCTTCAGCCTGCCTTTCCACTCTCTGGGCTGCGATGGGGAGCCAGGCTTAAGGGGGGAGGGCAACTTCCCCTTCTTCTTGATGGGATCTCCTCAAAGCCAGGGGTCCAGGAGTCAGGGTCGTGACAGCATCTGCTGGATCTTTCCTAGCTCATCCCTGGTGTTCCCCAATTCCCATGCAGACAGAAGTCTGATGTACGCTGCAGGTGGCCCCCACGCCCCAACTACATCCTGTCTCTTTTTCCCTCTTGCTTAATACCCCAGTGTCTCTTCTCATCCTTACTGTCAATTACTTGCTCCTAGGAGTGCCCCCCACATGCACAAGGGATGAGTTATCAGATGAAAGGCCTTCCAGAGTGGGGTTTGCTCAGAAGGGACCTGGGCTGGGTCTAGAGCCATTTCTCCACCTCAGTGCTATTGACATGTTGAGTATGGATGTGACAGCTGGACTATAAAGAAAGCTGAGTGCCAGAGAATTGATGCTTTTGAACTGTGGTGCTGGAGAACTCTTGAGAGTCCCTTGGACTGCAAGGAGATCCAACCAGTCCATCCTCAAGGAGATCAGTCCTGGATGTTCATTGGAAGGACTGATGTTGAAGCTGAAACTCCAATATTTTGGCCACCTGAAGCAAAGAGCTGACTCATTTGAAAAAGACCCTGATGCTGGGAAAGATTGAGGGCAGGAGGAGAAGGGGACAACAGAAGATGAGATGGTGGGATGGCAACACCGACTCAATGGACTTGAGTTTGGGTAAATTCCGGGAGCTGGTGATGGACAGGGAGGCCTGGTGTGCTGTGGTTCATGGGGTCGCAAAGAGTCAGACATGACTGAGCGACTGAACTGAGCTGAGCTGGATAACCCCTGTGTCCACTGCAGGCTGTGTGCGGCGTTCTTGGCCTCCGCCCATCAGGTGTCAGTAGGAACCCTGCCAAGTGTGACATCTTCAGATATTGCCAGATGTCCCCTCTGGGCAGAGTTGCCAGATAAAATTATAGAACGGCCAGTTACATTTCAACTTCAGATAAGAAACAATAATCTTTCAGCACATGCAGTTCTCAAATATCACCATCCTATAATTTTACTCGCTGAATCTATTAACTCCGCCTCGGGGGCAAAATCTCCCTTCTTGAGAATTACTGGCCCAGATCTGACCCTTGGGGCCTGGACTGTGAGGAGCAATAGGTGAAAAGATCTGATGAGATCATCAAAGGCTCCAGGAAGGCAAGAACTTTATCATACGCATCTGTGTATCCCTAGGGAGAAGTAGACTCTCATTAAATATTCTATCTGATGACAGGTATGAGGAACGTTTGAACCATTTCAGGTTCAGGACTGGGCATTGGGTACACACTCCCTGCCCTCAGGGAACCCATGGTCCAGCAGACAGAAACTGAAAATGGTATTTGATTTGACCCACTTAGCACTTTTAGAAGATTTTACTTTCGGGTCAACATTCTAAAACTGGAAGCCATTAAAGTCATGATTTCTAGTGTCTCTTAAAAGATGTGGTACATCTTCCAAATGCTTGAAACATCTGGCAATTAGATCTGCTCTCCCAGGTGGCAAGTCTTGCCTGGAGCTGTGAGACGAGTCCCCCTTTTCCCCACAGTCCCCACCACAGACCCTCTAGCTCTGTACCAGCACCCTGCACCCATTTACAACAGTTATCTGCCTGGTGCCTGAAGGCATTTGGGTTTCAAAGCTCTGGTCTAATGGGGAAGAAGTATTAGCATAGAATGTCCTGTTAGGTGATCTGTGTAAGGCTGGTACTTGATCCCCATTTTATAGATGAGGAAACTAAGGTTTAGGGAGGTTAAGTGAATTGCTCAAGATCATGACAGCAAGGCAGGGTGGGAACCCAAATCCCAGGACCCCTGGGCCTATGCCCTGGCCAGAGATCCCCCTGAGAAACAATTCAACTGCAAGGGCAAGAACACCGTGGCACCGGGAACCCAGAGGGGAAGTGGTAACAGGGACGGAAGACCAGAGCTCCCCACACTCACTCATCTCTGAGAAACCAAACGTGCAAGAAAGCTGGTTTGAGGAGAGCAGCCCCAGGAGCTTCGCCTGGGACACAGGGTCGGTCCTGAGACACGCCACCCCCTGGACTCAACGTCCGGCAAGTTCAGGGAGCTCAACCACGGACAACCGTGAGTAGATTTTGTTGTTGTTTTATTTAAGGGCTTCTTCCTCATTCTAGAAAACCTGTGTTCTCACCGTGCCTCTTCCCTCCAGGGTGGTGAGAAGCTGGGTGGGTTCGCCTGGGGCCAGGGGATTGATGTTTCTGAGGACTCCTGAAGTTTTTAAGGTCTAGTCCCTAGAAGGCTCATGGCCTGTGTGGTCCTCACCGTCAAAGCTAGGATGAGAATCAGCTCTCAGCTCCGTGTCCACCGAGGTCAGGATTCACGGTGATGCTCGCAGCTCAGAGAGCCTCGCTGTGTGCCAGGGACTGCTCTAAGGACCTTCCGCGGTTTAATTTTACTTAATCCTCACAGCGGTCTACCGAGGGGCTGGTGTCATCCCCCACTTTACAGACGGGGCTCAGTGACTCACCTGAAGTCACATGGGCATTAAATGAGAGTGCTGGGCTTGATCTTAGGCGTTCTGGCTCCTCACACACTTCAGCCACTAGGCTCTCCTGCCTTACAAGGTGCAGGCTTAAATAACAGATCATGGGCCGGGAAAAAAAACAAACCCAAAAGACTAGGGCCAGAAGAGGTCTTGGAAATCATCTGGTGAGTCCTGCCTTCACTGTACAGATGGGGAAACTGACACCCAGAGAGACCCAGCTTGCCCGACTGGGGCGCCTCAGTAGTGTAGTGTGGTCTGGTCCACTCTAGACCCAGGAGGCCAGAGATCCACTTCGCTGGAGGGTGAACCCCAGCGCTGCCGCTATTAACCCTGCTGCTGCTGCTAAGTCGCTTCAGTCGTGCGGCCTCAGACAAATCATGCCACTTCTCCCCACTCAGCTTCCTCTTCTGAGAAGTTCAGACTCGAGACCATCACTCACAGGCTCATGGGAGGGTTGATGAGATGATGCCAGCACCGCGGTGGGCACGTGTGCCAGGCTCAGGGTGCGGCTGAGGTGGAGATTCTGACCTTCACCCCATCCACCCTGGCCCTGGACTAGAGATGAGGATGAACGAGGCTGTGGGCTGCTTTCCCCTAGAATGGGTAGCATGTAGACACCTTCAGGACATGAAGACCAGGACTGAGGTGGAGGAGGGGCTGCGGAGGAATTGGGGGAGACCCTGGGGGGTGGCACACCAACACTGGCCCCAGCTCTGTAACTACCTTCTGGCTCAGCTAGAGATGGTCCCTGACCTGCCGTGAGCCCAAGCATCCGTTTCTATCAATGACGCACGTCCTTTACCCTTTGGTGGGTTAAGGTCAGATTGAGGTGGGTGGCTCAGATGGTAAAGAATCTGCCTTCAATGCAGAAGACCCGGCTTCAACCCCTAGGTCAGGAAGATCCCCTGAGGAAAGGAATGGCAACCCACTCCAGTTTTCTTGCCTAGAAAGTTCCACGGACAGAGGAGTCAGACGTGGCTGAGCACAGCACACACACAAGGTGGAAAATGACAGCCCGGGTCAGCTGAGTGGAGCCCTAAACGCCAGTCTTTTCTCTTCCCTCCTCATCTTGTCATCTTTCTCCCTGATCTCAGATGTGCATAACATGTTCTTTTATTCATTCTTATTAAAGCGCATTCAATAGGACTCCAAGCCCCCATCCTGCTGAGCAAGTCAGAAAGCGGATCTCAGGGTGAACTGAGCTATACCCTCCACTATCCCTCACCCTTAGGGTCACTTACAGAGCAGAGAGTGAAAGAAGCCCCCGGCTCCTCCTATGATGAACACCCCCTTGTCAAAGGGGTTTGGTCCCCTGAAGGCCAGCCCTCGCCCCTCCCCCGGTATGCCTGCAGCCCAGATTCTTTGCTAAGCCTCGAATGCCCTGTGTCTTGGGTTCACCCTCCAGGGTATGCCACCCGGCACCTGCCCCCAGAGGTCCTGCCATCTCCCCAAGGCACTTCCAGGCCCCCAACACTCACGGGACTCGTGACCTTGGGCGCCTTCCCTGTGTGGGGCCGTCTCTCCTTTCCCCTTGGCTTTCGACCGCAGGTGGGGCTCTTCTCTCTACACCCGTGGGACACCAGCTTAACCTTCTCACCGAGCTTAGGTTTTTTTTTTAACAAAGGACAGGAAGAAGGGCTGTCTTCAAACAGCTTCTGCTTTCTGCTCCTGCCCCTGAAAAAAGTCCCTGAGCCGGGAGAGACCAAGGGCACTCTTTGAAGGGAGACAGGCTGCCTTAACTTACAGAGGAGGGAAACCAAGCCTCAAGAGCGATGGGACTCATGCAAGGTCACATGGCCAAGGAAGAAAAGGGCCAGTGTCAAGTCCTGCGCCGTGGGCTCCAAAGCTTGTGCTGCCAACCACTGAATCTTGTGGAGGACCCACGTCTCCCTCGCCGATTAGTCAGACCACCTTGGCTGAGTCACATCACCTTCGCAAATCTCAATCCCTTCAACTCTAAAAATGAAGCTATGGTAGGATTATCTACCCATCTCAAAGCAGTGCTTGTGTGTTTTCTGAAGTCACCTGATGCAAAGAGTCAACTGATTGGAAAAGACCCTGATGCTGGGAAAGATTGAGGGCAGGAGAAGAAGGGGACAACAGAGGATGAGATGGTTGGGCGGTATCATCAACTCAACGGACATGAGTTTGAGCAAACTCTGGGAGACGGTGAAGGGCAGGGAAGCCTGGCATGCAGCAGTCCATGGGGTCACAAAGAGTCGGACACGACTGAGCGATTGAACAACAACAGTGACGTTTACTGAGCATTCTAATACGACATGCTGGAGCTCTGCTAGACCTGCAGATTTTTCAATTCTCACAGCAGCCTGTGGGGGAGATGCTATCGCTACCCACATTTGAGAGGTGAGAAACTGAAATTCACCCAGGCATAAAGCCTTGCCCAAGTTCGCACGGCTGGTCACATGGCAAAGCGAAGCCCTAAACCCAGGTCTGTCTGAATCCAGAACTGTGGTACACTGTGGCGAGAATCAGACAGGAGAACAGACGTGCAAAGTGCTTCCTAAGCACTAAGGTGCAAGGTGGGACCCAGGGTCAGCCCTCTTCCAGTAGAAAAGGACAAGACCTTTATTCTGTTTTCCCATCATATTCTGGAGAAGTAGGGTCTGCAGGATGTCCTGCCCCCACCCTCAGGCAGCAAAGACCCCCAAAGGAAAGAAAATGGCAGACCAGGGCAGATAGATGGGGTAGGTCAGGCAGGGAGGAGCCTCCCCACTGTCATCACACCCAGCATGGGAGAGAAAGCTGTGAGTATTCCATTCAAGCGGGTGACTGCGTGGGTGGGTCGGGCATCCTGTGGGTTTTGCTGCTTCTCTTCTCCTCCCCACCTGCCGACGCCCCCAGAGGGGAGGCCCCGGATCCGCTCACCCAGCGAGTCAGAGGCAGCCTCTCCCACCAAAGTCCCCCGCCTTCCTCTCCCGGGGAGTTAGGGCCACCCCAAAGTTCCTCTTTGAGAATCACAGCTGCGTTCAGTGTTGCCTGTCAGAATGCAACAAGTCCATCCTTTATGAGTCTTCAGAGATCTGTCTGGATCCCGGGGAATCCGACGAAGCCAAAAGCAGGGACTGGGGCTCCATGGACCATCTCATATAAACAATAAGAGTTGTCATATAACACTCACTGGACAGGTGAGGCTGCCAAGGCTCAGACGTGGCAGGTAAATGGCAGAGACAAGAGTCAAGCCCAGGGCTGTCTTTCCACTGTTTTCCACCAGCTCATCCCAACAAGAAAGAAGCTATTCTAGAAGGTTCACAGTAGTAGAACATTTCCATTTAAAAAAAAATAGTGAATACTTGTTTTGCCATTTAAAAGACATTTTTCTCAGTGTGAGAACTTCTTAAGATAAATGGAAGAATTGAGAATTCCAGTGGTTAGGACTCAGCACACTCACTGCCAGGGACCTGGGTTCGATCCCAGGTTGGGGAACTAAGATCCCACAAGCCACGTGGCACAGCCAAAAAATTTTTTTAAATAAAATAAATGGAAGAATCAGAAGCAATAGTTAGTGGTGATCAAACAGATGATACTCTCATGACTTCCAACCAGGCGGTTCATCTTTTGACCACTAGAGTGGCTTTGGCTAATACACTGATCTTCATCTTATGTTGTTGAATTTATACCTCTAATGAACCAATGATTAAAGAAAGGAATCTGGGACTTCCCTGGTGGCCCAGTGGTGAAGAAGCCATGTTGTAGTACATGGGAGTTGGGGTTCCATCCCTGGTCGGTAAGCCAGCTTGCCACAGCTGGAGGGTCAGTGCACCGCAACAAAGATCCTGTGTACTGCAACTAAGACCCAATGCAGCCAAATAAATAAATACATTTTTTTTAAATAAATACATTTTTAAAAAAAGAAAAAGAGAGGAGGCAAAGGGAACTCTGAGGCTGAATATACAAGGAAGTAGAAGAAGGAAGAAATGACTCCTCCACAGATTTGCCTCCAGATTTATCATCTGCATTTATCTGATCAAATTCCTTACATGGCTTACCAGGAAAATTCTGTTACGAAATGTCAAAGATGGTTAAAAAGAAAAAATAACATGTACTTTTTATTTTCCTGTGTTGCACAGAAAAGTTATCTATACCTGCAAGGCATATGCAGAGAGGTGCTTATACATAGGGACCTGAGAGCTATTTTATCTTACCATACAACAAACATAATGTTCTTTTTAAAAGGGACAATTCAGCTTTTTAAGCAATCAAATGCAAGAATGCAAAACCCCAGCTCATGTAAATGATCCCTCGAAGCTTTGGGGATCTCAGTTCTTGGACTAGGGATTGAGCCGGGGCCCCTGGCTCAGTAAGAGTGCCGAGTCATAACCACTGGCCCACCAAAGAATTCCCCATTTCAGCCTATTTTAATGTCCATTTGGGCCCCCATGAAACATCATTTTAAAATTTGTTCAGCCACCATGCATTTTCTTCAGTCATGAATTTAAAGTAAATCAAGCACATATGTCACTGTAAAGCGTGGAGAAGTAAAAATTTGTTTTTACATATTAGGCATACAAGTTAAATAAGTGTTAAGGAAATTTTGGAAATAAGACACATTACAAACAGT